TGTGGTGGGTCTCGGGCACGAAGTAATGTCCTGTCGATGAATGGTGGAATTGTAAGGTCAAGACCTCGAGCGATATCAGACCATGTATTTACAAAGTGGAGACCAGAAAGGCCATCTGCTACACGATGTTCCAGGCCAACACCAAGTGACACTCCACCACATTTGAAGTATGTGACCTGATGCATAAACAGAGTAAAACCAGAACCATACTATGTAAGTTTAAGTCATATCAGGTTCAAGAATTGTCCAGGATGATATTATGAGCAAAAGAAATAAAAGAAAGGGTGAGCACTTCGAATTGTATAATGAGGTAAAACTATTCGCTAATCCACCAAAAAGAAAATGCATCCACTCAGATATAACAGGAAGACGATAACTTGGCTTAAAAGAATAATCTCATCTAAGTGGCAACAAGTAGACAGACGAATGCAGGTTGGACTGTTACATTTTTCTTGTGGTATTCTTCAAGTATTGAAGCATCCATACAAACAACAAAGTAAAAAAAACACTTCTTTTAAATTGGGGTGGGCTGAATTTACATTACGCACAAGGGTGAATTTTATCGATCACAAAAATATATCCTAATCAAGAGGAAATAATGAGCTTTACCCCTCAAAATACATCTAGTACATATCTCTTTTTTGCTTTCTATGTGCAAAGGTGCCTAAAGTAGACCTGTTATTTTCTACCAAAAAAATAAAATAGGGGTTGTTTTCGACCAAAAAGTGGGTGTTGTTTGTGTTTGGCCCTTGGCTCCTTTTTGTGCCCCAAAAACAAAAAGTGAAGGGCTTAGGATTGAGATAACTGACCTCATTGTACCCCAGTTCGAACCCCAGAGTCAAACTCCAATGTAACCAAAAACAAAAACCACTTCTTTCTCTAATATTACCCATGCTTAGAAACATCAAAACTTTTCGCCTGTGGGGTTGAGCGTGCATTAATATTAGTTTCCAAAAGCACTAAAGGCATAACCAAAGATGGTTAGTTGAAGTAAATGAATTTGACACCTGCATATAAATCAGCCAGCTTTTTTATTGAGTTAAACTCCGTTGGCTTATCGTGCCATCATAATTACCTGAATATTAAATATCGCACATGCTCGAATTGGGTAGACAATAATTTTTTAATATTTCTCAGCTATTGTTCATTTTATGTGGTCCTACAGCCACCACCTTTGTGGTGAAAAATAGGCAATAATTGTTCCACGTATTAATTCACCACATATTTTGGGAATTACCTAACATAATAGCTTTCTCTCATCTCTTATCAACTTTAGGTGCGACATAGTTAATATTTTTCCACGTATTAATTCACCACGTATATTAATATAGTCTGTCGGCACAGTTACAATATTCTTTTTTATATTAGTTTAGTATATTCTTTTCTTCTTTTTTATTATATTTTTTTATCCTGATCATGGATCGAGCCAAGTATCACAACTTCTCAATCTATTGTTTATTATCAATTAATAAATACAAATATCATATCATGTTAAAGTGTGGCAGTGGCACCACATGGCTGCTTTCCTCTTTTTTTGTGTTTTTTTATCACTTCAATTACCAATAAATAAAATAAATAAAATTTCATCATCAACTATCTTTCAAGTAATCTACGGTCAAGATCAAGTAATGAAACGACACTAGCGATCTTAAACATACCTGCAACACCAAGAGGGGATAAGTTGATATCCCTGCCGAATAATCAACGGCTGGGATGAGCTTCCGGAACTCGAGAGTCGGCGCGAAGTCGCCGAAATCGTCGATGGTGGAGCCCGTCTCAGCCACGACAAACAGCGCGCCCTCCGCATTGCAGTCGATCTCGCCGCGGCCGTTGCCTTCCTTCCCGAGGCGCCCCGCCAACGGGTAGAAGGGCACGAGGGCCTTGCTGAGCGCCTGCTTGAGCACCTGCGGGTCGAAGAAGTTGTTATGATGACCGTGCACACTGTTTTGGTTCTGCCTGTAGAAGTAGACGCTGGGCGTGTGGTTGCCCAAAATCACCAGGTCCAAGTTGGTCATCCACAGCACCTGCCTCGGCGTCTCCTCCGCCGGCTTCACCAACGTTGACTCCCTCACGCTCACGTTGACCACCGCCATCTTTTGCTCAGCCTCACCTCACCTCCAAGCCAAACTACTTGTGTAACCTTCTTTGCAGTGAAGAAGGCAAAGCACGCCTCTGTATACCGACCTTGTAATATCCATATATGTAGCGACTGAGACAACTTTGTGTATGTGCGGGTACACCAGGTCCCATGTGGAAATATTTCCCGATACACACGATATAAATACTGTACACGTAGAACATAAATACTGTGTGCCTCGAACGTACAAAAATTATTGGTTTATAGGTTATATAGTTTACGTGGTTAAATAGTAGTAATTAAGAGCATTTCTCTACATAATTCTGCTCTCTCAATGTCAATTCTATAAAAATAAAAAATAAAAAAGTAAAGTCTAAACGTCCCTCATAATAGACTTATTATATTTTTATATCACACTGTATATTACCTTTTAATGAAAGTAAAGCTCATTAGTACAATAGGTTCATCTCTATTAGAGATGAGTAATGTTACAGTTACCATATTTTTATTTTATGTTTCTATACAAGAGCGGAATCACACTAAGGGTTACAAAGGGCTATAGCCCAGTGTGGTTTTTAAGAAAAAATATATATATATAACCTATATATTTAACTTATTTTCAATATTAGCCCAATCAATAGAGCTGTACAGATTACCTTATTTTCATTTTCAACATTTACTTAAGTTTACAATGTAAATAAGGAAGTAGCCCCTATTTGGATTCAAATAAAAATAATATAAATCAAATTCCCACCAAATCAAAATATGAAAAATTGGTTTTAGTGCAAAATACGATTTAGGCTAAAAATTATGGCTCATTAAGTCAATATATACTTCATACTAAAACCTCATAAAATCAAGTTTTCTTATTTGATGTGTGAGGAATAAAAGCCGCCAAAAATTATATTGAGAAAATGATTATTCCGAAAACCCATTTTTCATACTTAGTCAATATTTTTACATAAAACAACTTTTCATGTATGATATGAATGCATGAAAGAACCTAAGGTCAATATAGGTAAAAAGCCTTAAATGTTCAATTCATTATGGTGTTAAAACCCTATTTGGTTTATGTTAAAACTTGGTTTATATGATTTAATGTTTACTTTTATTTCTAAAAAGACTATAGAAATTGTAAGTACAAAATAAAATAATCATTAAATTTTAAGCTAATAACTTTAGTTAGTCCACCCGTTGAAAAATTTATGGTTCCACCCTTATTTCTATATCATATAATGTGACATATTCAAATCATATACATCTTCTCCGCCCTGATAGCAATATCAAATAAAGACTACTATGTCTCATGTGGAAATATTCATACATATTCATATCATATATTCGTATCATATACGTCAGGGTCCCATGTGGAAATATTTTCCAAAACATATAGGACATAAATATTGTGTGCCTCCAACATACAAAAATGATTGGTTTATAGCTTATAGTTTACGTGGTTAAATAGAAGCAGTTAAAAACATTTCTCTCCATAATTCTACTCTCTCAATGTCAATTCTATAAAATAAAACAAAGTCTAAACGTCCCTTGTAATATTATTAAGAATAATGCTAGACTTATTATATTTTTATTATCATATTGTATACCACATTTTTAATGAAAATGAAGTCCATCGGTACAATGGAGTTTATCTCTATTAAAAAAGAGTAATGCTATACTTATTATATTTTTATTTTATATTCCTATATTATATGATGTGACATATTCATATCATATACATTTTCTCTGTCCTTGGCATTGTCAAATAAAGACTACCGTGGAATTGTCTTGCCCTCAATGCATCAAATGGTATCATTTTCATAATTATAAGAAGAGAACAAAATAGTTCGTGGCTTGAAACCGTTCCACGATATCTTCAAACGAAATAGTACGTGGATTAATTTCAGATCACACAAACAGCTCCACTTTTAAAGTAGCACGTGGTTTATTCTTTTTCGTCCACGGGTCTCTAAATTTTAAAGTAAATAATAAATTACACAACTTGAAACAACAGAACAAACTTTTTTGTTTTTTTGATAGAAACAGGACAAACATTAGATGGGACCACTCCTTTATGAAAATATCAGCTCTGTACCAAAGCACACAGCCTGACAAAATCACATGGCAACCCTTTTATATCATCACATGGTAAACGACATGATATTTTTTCTTTTTATATAATAATATCAATAAATCTCCGTTTATATGTTATAATATATGAACATAACTTTCTCTATAACCTTCTCTTTTTTTCTAATAACATTTGGACGGGAGAGGAAGTAGGTTTCTTTCATATGCTTGTTTGGGTACTGGTCATGGGTCATTGCTGGGTATTAGTGTTTGTTTTGGGGAGAAGTGGGGAGGTAGAAGAAGGGTTGTGGGGCGCTGCAAATGATGGAGAGAGGATTGAGAGATAATATTTTTTGAATTGAAGAAATTAGGGAAGTCAATATATTTAAATTAACTATTTTATTTAATGAAGCTAAATTTGAAGAATAAAAACTAACTTATTTAATTATTAATGATATTATTTAATGAAGGTGATTGATTAAGATTGTGAATATCACGACCTTTTTATAAGGCTCTTGAGCTGATTTGATTAAGACATAATCAGATCATATCAATTTTATTGCATTTGATTTCAAGCAATTTGCAAATCCTTGTCTGTTTTTATATCACTCGATTTTTTTATTTTTTATTCAACAGAAGTACCACCCGACGTTGAGCGACCGACTTTAATATACGTACTTGCGAAGACTTCATTAGAATTATTTGGGTTAGATGTAGACATTTATTGGTCCCATCCTCTGCCTTTCAGTCAAGAAATGAACACAGCTTCCTCATCAATTGGCATGAAAAGTGTGGGACCCATAGCTTTCATTCAAGACTTCTCCTCTTCTAATATATGTGTATCAATACATCAAAGCTTTCGACCGTTGGATTTAAAAGTTCTGATCTAATGGCTCAAAATAATTTGTGAAGAAAAATCACTAAAATCACCACACAAAAATCTGGACAACCTGCTGTACTGGGTTTCTTTGCCTCCCAACACGTGAAAGCTTGCAGTTCAACCTGGAGATGGCAAATTTACAGAGCTGGGAAAAGATGAATGTGGGTATTGCAAGCTCAGTCCCAGAAACCCACGCCAAAAACCATGGCTTCTCTTCCTTCGGTACCCACCCACCCACCTAACCGACGGCAACCCCATCTTCACTTATCTCTCTTCGAGCTCTCAATACGGTCAGATCTGAATTTCCAACCATGGGAGACGATAACGAGTGCGAGAGAGACCTCGACCGTCTTCGTTTGCTGCCGTCTCTTGCTCCAGTCGTCAGCTCAACTTCGCAACCATGGTATTTCTCTATCTAATTCTCTGTTTGTTTCCTCTGAAACTGAAATGAAAAAGAAAAAGGAAAGTTTGTATGTTCATGGTTCTGATCTGTTACATTTGGTTTTTTCTATCCTAGAACATCCCAGAGAAGAACAGGAGAGAAATCTCCAAAATTATTATTAATAAAACATAAAATAGCAGGGTTAATTGCATAACCCTAACTCCCGCCACTCTCTCTTCTCTTCTCATCTCTCTTTCTCTTCTTCAAACCCCTACCCGGCAGGCAACATATTTCTTCTCTTCCTCAACGCCGCCGCACATCTGGCTCTCCATCTCTGCCGCCGCCGAACCATTCCGACTAGGTGCTTTTAAGTAAAAGGTATTGATTTAATTATGTTTTGGTCCGTATATGGTGATTTTGAAATGTATGATTTCTATATCCATTTTCTTTTTTGTCATCAGTTCATAATGGTTTAACTCTTGGTTATTTTTATTAAATTTTCTTGAATGTATGAGCTTTTCGATTTGAGTAGGAATGGAACCAAACTTCGTATAATTTTTTAATTATACACATATTAAATTAAATAAAAAAAGAATACATTTAATGATATATTATAATTTTAAATTGTTCGTGGGAACAAAATAGTTTTGAAAAATGTGCATTGAATATTTGCTCATTTTTCTAAACTTTTTCATGAGGAGGGAAAACAAAATCCAAGTTGAGAGGATAGCTTTATTTTTTCTCCTATTTTTTCCTGTGTTAGACAATTATTTCTCATGTCTAAACTTATCAAACATGAAAAAACAATTGATTTCGCATCTCCAACCTTATTTTTCATGAACCAAACAGGATCTCAATGTCAATTCTATAATAGAATATAAAAAAGAATATAAAAAGTAAAGTCTAAACGCCCCTTGTAATATTATTAAGGTTTTTTAGGTTTTAGACATAAAAAAAAATTTACTTTTGAAAAAAGCCAAAGCTTTTTTAAAAAAGACAAAAAAACCGCGCAACTTTCAAATCAAAGACATGCAAATGTATTAGATTCCTTAGGAAATCTAAAAATAAATAAGGGTATTTTTGTCCATTTTTGCTTCTTTTAAAATTTCTCTCTCCTTTTGCTTTTTCTAAAATGTCCCATAGCTTTATTACATTTTTATAATCTACTGCGTACCATCTCATTAATAAAAGTGGAAACTATCAATACGGTAAGGTCCATCTCTATTAGAGAGGAGACATTTGAAACTGAGCAAATGGACAATTTTAAGCATCTTTTTGTGCTTTAATATATTCGCCACAATCCGAACTGACCTTGGATCAGGGCTACCAGTGCTACAACCCGGGACCTAAAGTCAAGGGGGGTCCAAATTTTTTTATAAAGGCGATGTAGATGTGTATATAAAAGAATAAATAACAAATAATAAAATAATAATAAAATAAAGAAGTTGAACCGTATCTGTACCAAAGAGGAAGCCAAATCAACCTTCAATCATTCTCAATCTCAAGAAACTTATTGAGGAAGGTAGCAAAATCAATCATCATTTATTAGGGTATGGTATGGCTCCGCACCACCTGAGAAAATTCTGATAGCATTTTCAAATAAAGACTACTGTGGAATTGTCTCTGTCCTCAATGCATCATGGCATCATTTTCATAATTATATATGTCAATCAAATCTTTAGTTACTGACACAACTTAAAACTACAGCACAACCACTAGATGGGATCTCTCCTTCATCATAATATCAAACATGAGATGGGACCTGGCCTTTATGATAATATGGAGCTCTGTACTGTAGCAAACAGCAAGGCCACGCCGCCTGACAAAACCACATGGAAACTCTTTTAAAAGGTTTGGACTGTAGCATGATTTGTTTGTGTGTTATAATATAGGTAAACGATATGATTGATATTTTTTTCTTTTAGAGAATAATATTAATAAATCACTGCTCATATGTAGGGGTGTATTTTCGGGAAATATAAAGTCACTTTTACATCCTCTTTACATTTCTAGGGAATGTAAATATTTTTTTTGCTCCACCAATGAAAAACGATGTAAATCCAAATATGCATACTCGATTTGTTTGTGACAATTCTTTTTTGTGTGTGTGTGTTTTTTTTTTATGTTTTAATTTTTTAAAATTAATTTTGTTCGTGTTAGATTTATTTATTTTTCCAAATAAATGGACTTGATTCCAAGTATTTACTCATGCATCATAGGTCATGGGTTTGATTCCCCTCTCATTCAATATCGCTTATTTAAATAAAAATAAAAATATTTAAAAAAGTTGCGCTCATCTCAACCAGGTATCTTTTGAGATAAAATGCCACATGGAGCTAGGAGGTTCACATGGCCTAAAACAACTTTGTATTGGACCAAGAGATGGAGTTGTGGACAATTGTTACGGAGTTGTTCAGCAAAACCCCTGGGGAGCCCTCCTCCACAGGTATGGAGAATTCATTAGAAAAAGAAATGCACTTGTAGTATTAAGCTACCACCTCTGGCATTCAAATCAAAACCAAAGTACGTTCACTTGAAACAATCAGCCAAGGGCCTAAACAGCTCATCAAATTCAAAACGAAAATTTGTATGGTTTCTGTTTCTTGTTTCAGGAAAAAAAAAAACATCATGGCCTTCCCTCTCCCCTTCCTGGGTGGTTCCAGCCTGTGGCAGGCTGGGCTCATGCTCGGCCCAAATTTATGTTAAATAAATATTACCCATACTTTTCTCTCCTCTCTTCTCTTTTGCCCAATTCTAATTTTTGTTTAAAAAAAATATTACATACACTCTCATATCTCTCCTCTCCTTTTTTTTAGGGTAATAAAATTGGAGTGGGGAAATCACAACTCTTTTTTTATTCTTTTTCTCACTCTCCTCTCTCCTTTTTAAAAAAATAAAAAATAAAAAAATTCTTTTCCTTCTCTCCTCTCCTCTATCTCTCTTTTTTTTTTCGGTTGTTTTCATTCTCTTTTCTAGCCCTCTTTTTTTTTTTTTTCTTTCTTCTCCTTCTCTCATCCCTCCTCTCTCTTTTTTCCGTTCTTTTTCTTCTATCTTCTCTCCTCTCTCTCTCTCTCTCTCTCTCTCTCTCTCTCTCTCTCTTTTTTTCTCCCTTTTCCTTCTCTCTTTTTGTTAGAAGAATATTACCTCCACAATAGGAAACTTTAGTTTGGCCTTCTGGATCTCCTCTCTTGGGGTTTTGCGATACCAAAAAAAAAATTAATTATCATAATTTTTAATCTAATTTGAAAAGAAAGACAAAAAAAAAGAGAGGAGAGAAGAGAGAAGGAAAAGAAATAAAAATGAGAGAGAGAGGAGAGAAGATAGAAAGAAAAGAACGAAGAAAAAAAAAGAGGAGAGATGAGAGAAGGAAAGAAAGAAAGAAAAAAAAGAAAGAGAGAAGAGAGAAGGAAAAGAACGAAAAAAGAGAGAGAGAAGAGAGAAGGAAAAGAAAGAAAGAAAAAAGATTTGTATAGGTTTAATTTAAGTGGGTTGGACATATGTAGTGTAGGTAATATTTTTTTAACAAACATTTGGGCCGGAGCCTGCCATAGGCTAGAAACGCTCCTGCTATCCCTCTTACCTCAGGCAATTCGCCCCTTAAGAGCCCCCTCGCCGAGTACATCCGATATGGTGTTCTCGATCTTGACAACCACATCAATCATTTAATTTGGTAAACTGCTTCTACAATCATTTTGTTTTTTAAGTTATAAAAGAAACTCCAAGACGTTTGAAATTAGTTTGGATTGAATACTGTAATTGATTGAAATGTCGTTTGGTTGATGGAATGATTGAAAAGTTTGTTAGAAATGTTATATCAATTTTCTAGGCCTCCCTTCAAACATGTCATTCATACAAAAAATTGGTTAGTCATTTAACTTAACGATCCAAGCCCGGATATAACATTGAGCAGGGTATTAACACTCTCCAATTATCCAAACCCTGGATATAACATTAAGCAAGTATTTGAATGTGGTATATTTTGTTCCATTGAAACCATAGAGGTTGAAATTGGGCTTCATGATCTTTTTTTTTCTTTTTTTTGTTTTTCTTTTTTTTTTGTTGGGTGTGGAATCTTGTTAAGTTGTTATCATGAAGATGCAACAATCTAAGCAAGAAGAGAGATTTAACATGCAAGGTCTGAAAAATGATAAATCTAATATCTGAACTTATATGATTCAGAATTTTCTTCTGCTAGAGTAGTTCAGTCAAATCTTATTGAATGTGAAATGACTTTCCTCTTCCTTTTTGCCTAAGGTGGCTGTTAACGAAATTGTAGAGCACAAAATCATAGCAAAATAGTGTAGTGGTAAGTGAGTATCGTTCCGCAGAGACTATAAGACTAATTAATTGAGTACTGATTATGATTAATCCTAAACTTTATCTGGATGTTCGAATGATGAGGCTTTGATTAATAAGAATGAACTAACATAAACAATAATAAATTCGGCAAACACTAATGGTATGAGCACTAGGGTACCGATTTCACCATAGCCAATTCTACCCTATTCCTGTAGCCAGTTAATCCTAATTATTATCCATGTTAATGGTAAATTTCCCTTAATTATTCAATATGACATACCTATCTATACCAAAAGTATTCCTACAATTATCCCACTCTATGCCTAGATGAAGAACTAAGAAGTAGAAACTCATTAAGTTCTATGGAAATTTATGGAAACCACACAAGCCTTGATTAACCTTCCAGTTCACTCAAGTAACCTGTGGTACCAATTACTAGAAGCAACATCCTAAGTTGGATATTCCTATCATCAACTCAAGCATCAAATCAATTAAGTGGTGATCAAGCACTTAAAGCATTAAGAACGGTAAAAGATACTTAACATGGAAAATAATATCAAATTAACATAACACACAGAAATAAGGTATTCATGGCTAGGCTACACCGTAGCCCTAGCAAAAAGAAAATTAGAACATGATAAACTTATTGAGAATCGCAGAGTGGTTAATGGTAGACATGAAGATGAACTCGAAAACTCCCAAAAAGCTCCAAGGTGGCCGGCGGCAGCAGGACTTCTCTTTACAAGAATTGGGTATTTTCGAGTAGTGAAAAGTATGGATCCCGTCTATGAGGCCAGCCCTATGCTATTTATAATACACAAATCCTTAACCTAGTTACAATCAAATACTACCAAAAATAGGTTTCCCAATATCTTTCCCAATATCTCTTTGATTGCTTCTCCAAATTCCACAAGGATTTGACCAAACTTCCTCTTTTAAGCTTTGACCGGTTGATTGCCTTCTACGAAACATCTTCTTTGTCTCCAATTAATCCTTGTCATACATCTTAATGATTTTTGAGTCCAATTTGACAACTTTTCGTCCAATTCCTCTAATTAAGGACCAACTACACAATTCTCACAAAATACATTAAACCTAACAATTTAATCCAAGAAAATCAAGAAATAAATTAGCAAAAGAGACATAAAATATATGTAAAATATGGACTTATCAGTGGCCTCTAGTTTTAGAAAAAGGGTTGAGTTGCCATATATTTCACATGAAGAAATCTTTGCCTACTATTGCCTATTGTTGCCATATATTCCTCTTCCTTGTTGCCTAGTCACTAACTATGTTGCACGGACACAGGTACAGGGACACGGGAATGCGACAAGGGAAATTTCAAAAAATTAGGACACAGACACCTATGTTGCACGAACACTTCAAACTGCTGGAGTGTCGGAATGTCGGACACGCCGACACGACTCCGACACGCCCCCGACACGCATTGGACACGGTCAACAGTTGGGACACGGTCAAGACATGGCTCTGATACGGTCAAGACATAGCTCCAACACGGTCAAGACACGGCAGGGACCAGTTTGAAATTTTCAAAATAAAATCTGAGGTCTAAACGTGATTTTTGAAACTTTTGGTGGACTGATTTGAAATATTTTTAAAAATAGGGGCCAAAAGTGGGAAAGACTTTTTTATACCTAAATCTCACTTTTTTCTGCTGCCAAAGTTTATTTCCTCCATCACAGCTCTTCTCCTCCCCTTCTCCTGGTTTTGCATAAGGTAACTCTCTTTGCAATTTTTTTTTTCTCTATTTTCAAATGCATTTATTTATGTTCTCTATTTTCTTTTCTTATCTCCCTTCACAGCAATAGAAGAGTTGGACTTAGTGGTGAGGTGACAATTCTTTCTTCTGTTTTTTTTTAAGAGAAACACAACAAATAATAACAATAACAATGAAGACATAGATGCTTGAAGAAGATTCAGAGTTCGATCATTTATGTTTTATTTTGTGGTCTATTAATTATTATGTATGGATGATGAACATGAGTTATTTGTTTTCTTTTATGGAATTATGTGACATTGAAGTATTAAGAATAAATTATTTTTTTAATTGCCGTGTCCTAACCGTACCCATGTCCTAACTTTTTGAGATTTTCCGTGTCGCCGTGTTCCCGTGTCGCGTTCCCGTATCCCTGTACCTATGTCCATGCAACATAGACGGACACGATTAGGACACGGCAATTAAAATAATAATAAATTTATAATAATTATACATATTAAAAAAAAATATTTATGTTTATACTTAATTTCATAATACCATATATATATATGATGTAATCCAACCTTTCTAACCCTTTCCAAATATAGTTTTTTTAAATATATTAAGTTGATATGAATTATTATAAAATTAGCATATTAATTAAATATATATACGTTTTGTTGGCTGGGTGGGTATTGGACAAAAGAATTTTTGTTTTGTTGGATAATCGTCTATTATATTGGGTAATATTTTGGATTTAATTGGGTTGGGGGTGTAGTTTATGGTTGTGTAGTGCGCCCACTGAGGCAATTTGCTTTATA